CGTTATTAGAAACATGCCAGGAGCCGAATGGTGGACCACTGTTCTCTTCCGAAAATGAAAAAGAAAACACTCAAGTTTCTTATGGATTAAAAAAACAAAAAAAAAAAAATCCTCTTCAATCAACCTGTTTTGATGATGATGTTTATTTTTCAGCTGGCTGAGTCCTTTCCTGCATCTCGGACACAAGCAAAGACTGGAAGCAGGTGACCTCTACACAATACTTCCTGAAGATGAATCGGAAGTACTTGGACAAGACCTGCAGAGGTAGTCTTCTTTCTTTGCACCTTTTCATTTTTACGGCACCCGTAAAAAAAAAAAAATCCTCTTCAATCAACCTGTTTTGATGATGATGTTTATTTTTCAGCTGGCTGAGTCCTTTCCTGCATCTCGGACACAAGCAAAGACTGGAAGCAGGTGACCTCTACACAATACTTCCTGAAGATGAATCGGAAGTACTTGGACAAGACCTGCAGAGGTAGTCTTCTTTCTTTGCACCTTTTCATTTTTACGGCACCCGTACAACAAATGGAGTCGTGTAAATCAGAATTCAACCAAAACGTCACAAGACGGTGGCGCCTTGAGACACGAGTCACCCGTTTTATGAGTTTTAGCATCTGATCTGAAAAGAGGAGTGAGTGAGTCTGACTTGAAGTTGTTTGCAGTGGTACCAGATCAGAAGACCAGATCCGGGATATGCCCCTTCAGGCGAGTGGGGGACGTGATTTGTTGCTGTCAACCGGAGTTATTGAGACAGTATGATAATTCACCGGAAAATGTCTTCTCGGCAATGTCCATGTGAATATTAAAATCACAAAGAAATATAATGGGAGGAGATCGTGCACAGCACAGTCCGTATCTGCATACAGTGGTAGCCCTACTTACGAAATTAATATGTTCTGGAAGAAATTTTCAGAACTAGAAAATTTTGTAAGTCAAGACGCGTTTTCCATGTAAATGCCCTAATCCGTTCCAAGACCCCCAAAATTCAGACATAATAGTTTCCTAAAGCATAAATATACATCAAAATGTGTAACAAATACATGTTACAATTGGATGATTGCACAATAAATCAGAGTTGTGCATAATGTAAAAAAATAAAGAATAAAAATGATGATCATTTAACTTTTAACTGCATCGTCATTGTTTTTTGCCCTCTTTTGTTTATGTTCACTCTCAGAAGTAATTTTTGCCTGGCATTTTGTAAAGAACTGATCCAAGGACGTTTGCTTTTGTCAGCTTTTAACAAGCCTTCGAAAATGGCCAAGGGGAACATCAGCAGAGTGAGCGATCGCCCGACCAGTGAACACTTTTTCTGGGGATTCACATTTACGTAAAACTATCGGAACGCTTCATGGCCCGAGAGGCAAATGACGAGGACACGGCATAGACACAAACATCGACACATAGGGTAGAGGTCCCTCTTTGCCAATGGGATGCCAGGATGATGCTCGATAATAGCCAATGGCAGAGCAGCTCTAAGTATGTTGCGTTCAGGAAACTCGGAACTGCGAGTAGCAGCCCATCCTGTGTTTTGACCTTTCGTATCTTGAAATTTCTTTGGTAACAAGAGGCAATATTTTCCTGTTGAGGCGTTTCGTAACTTGAACATTTCGTATGAAGAGACGTTCATAAGTAGAGGTACCATTTGTCAATAAGTGTTAACAAGGGTCAACCAAGACAGCATTTAGCTGCCAACACAACCACGTGGTGGGTCATCAGACTAACCGGCGATGTGTAAACTTTTTTGGGATGTAGGACGAGGGCTCCTCCACTTGTCCGCTTGAAGCAAAGTGAAGTCACTGCCTCCCGCGTACAAACACGACGAACACGCACGAGACAAGTGTCACATTGCTTTTTTTTTTTTTTCCATACTTAGTCTACTCTGAAGTCGTGTATTGGCAGATGACACACACAAGACAGGCCAGGCGGGTTTTTGCCAGTTATTAATAAAATGAGCGCCCATAGGTGCTCGACCCAGTTAGGGACTATTAAAGGGGCGGACAAAAACCCACTTCCGTCCTTGCTTAGTTCCTCCTTTAAAAAAAAAACAAAAACAAAAAAACCTTCTTATCCTTCATCCCCGAAATGGGCGTCCCCAGGACGGAATGTCCATCTCAGGCCACGATGCAAGATACAGGGCGGCACGGTGATCAACTGGTGAGCACATCCGCCTCACAGGGCAGAGGTCGTGGGTTCGATTCTCAGCCCCGGCCTTCCTGTGTGCAGTTTACGTGTTCTCGCCGTGCCTGTGCGGGTTTTCTCCGGGTACTTCGGTTTCCTCCCACATTCCAAAAACATACATGGCAGGCTAATGGAACACTCTAAATTGGCCCTGGGTGTGAGCGCGACTGGTTCCTTGTCCCTGTGTGCCCTGCGATGGGCTGGCAACCGGTTCAAGATGTACCCCGCCCACTGCCCGAAGGCACCCGGGATAGGCTCCGGCACGCCCCGCAAACCTTGTGAGGATAAGCGGATTAGATAATGGATGGATGGATGGAATTTAAATGAATGAATAACTTTGCTGTCTTTATTACTTGCAATCAATGTCCAGTAAGCCGCTTCATTCTATTTTGCCCCTGAAACTGTTGACTTGTCTCCATAACAACAATACAAAGACAGCCTGTGGCAAAGTTAGTGAAAATAAGTCCATCTCTACAATTTAGGTACCTCAAGCATTTATTCTGTTTGTGTTCACTTGTATATTTGTTATTCAAGTGATCCAATTCCCAGAAAATCAGGTACCACTGCATACTGATACAGTCATCTCATCTTTACCCACAAATGTGCTTTTTTTAGCCAAACGCAAGGCTTTTACGTGTCACTCGTTCGGTAAATCAAAGTATCTGGTTGTTGTTGTCAGAAATTATGCTAAGCAAGACTTCCCCCACCTCTATTTGAGTTGCCTAGAAAGAGCCAACCTTCCCTTTTGTAACTTCCTAATTGATTCAAACTGTCCACAATGTTGCAACCCTGTCTGGGACTCGACTCCGCTTTTGATGTTTCACTGTAATTCGTGCCTGTGCAAAAACCACTTTTTTTTTTCCACATCTTGCAGGTGCTGGGAACTTGAAGTTAAAAGGGCAACCAAACAACTACGGAAGCCCACACTGACCAAAGTCCTTATTAAGTGCTATGGGAAGTCTTTCGCCGTCGCGGGAATCTTTGCGTTTTCCTTGGTATGCACTGAAACTCCCTTTTTTTTTTTTATTGATGTTGAAATGACTAGAAATTGGATTCCACGCTTATGTGACAATAAAGAGACCCCCAGTAGGTAAAAAAAAAAAAAAAATGAGGGGAAAAATGAGAAACAGCCCTAACTCCACGTGAAGAGGGGCCTTGTTTTGCCAGCGGGCCAGTAAACAAGCAATTGTCCATCAGCCGTGCCGGGCGACAAGAAAGAACACCCTATTGTGAGCACTCCCAGGGACGTTCCACACTTAAAATGGACTCAAGGGGAAAAC